ATACCATTTTATTTCTGGGTTCGTAGATAATTTGGTATTTCGAGATCAAACTGTTTTCTGGGTCAAGACATAGCTCAATACTGACGTAAAGAGCAGGGTGAAGGGGGTATTGAGGGTATGCAAATCCATGAAGCGAGTGTCTTCTGGGATACGGGCATTCTCTCCCGGTATACGAAAGGCAAAGAGGAAGAGCATAAGCGGCCCCATTGAGTATGAAGTGTAAAGTCAGAAAACTATTTCAAAATCGTGAGGCTTGTTGAATGCAATAGACGATGTCTGGTTCTCTTTTATAGTAGTGCCAGCGAGCGATTCGGCCAAGTCTTGCAGTGCGGCGAGAGGTACCCTGGGATTGATCGCTTGGAAGCTTCGCCATGACGATGTCTAATCTGTCGGATTAGCGCGAGACTGAAATGCCTTTGTTTGTATATACGTAGTTCGCGAAAGCTGCCAATGACCGACGGGGATGGAGGTGATTCGCAGTCCTCTCCACTAACAGTCTCCCGAGCCACTTGACCGCTTCTGTCCCATCAGTATTATTCGAAAGTGACGGTTTTATTCATTGGAATCATCCGTTATTGTGCTTCCTACAAGTCAGTTCACCCGCCTTGGCTTTCTTTGGGGCTAAAGACTTGCCACACCATCATCACATCACAGTGGTCTGATGTGAGGCCAAAACCGGAGTCACGTTGAACACCACAATCTCCCCACAAAAACACCACGACCACGACTATGCACATTTAAGCAGCAGGTATAGGTGACATATCAATGCTGACTTCCTCTTTGCAAAAACAAGATACAAAATTCAAGATACAAAAATCAAAAATCAAAACTCGTCACAATCGGTTCAGAAGAGACGAAATGAAGATTCTCATTACATACGCAACGACAAGTGGGTCCACACGTTCCATCGCTGAGCGGATTCAGGCGAGAATAGCTGCTGCAGACTTCGGCAGCATTTCCCTCGAGCCCATGGAGACCAAAGCATCCGTTGATGATTTCGGTAAGTGGCTAGAGCTAGACTTCTGTGCCCAAGGAAAGCTCTTCATATGAAAAACTCCAAGCGCTTTATATCAACGAAGAATTTTGCTAATCGGTATGATGTAGATGCCATAATCATAGGCTCTTGTATTCATGCTGGAAGCTGGATGAGAAAAGGAAAGAAATTCATTAAGAACAATGCAACGGCACTTCGCGATAACCCGAAGCCCACATGGGCGTTCAGTGTCGGCATGCCACCAGAAAGCAAGTTTGAGGGAGAAGAGAAGCAAATGTATGACTGGCTTTCAAAACAAATTGTACTTGAAGGACACAAGCTCTTCTATGGAGCGTATCAGGAGAAGGACGTGGGAGGTTGTCTCAAGCTCTTCTTCCACTGCTTCGGGCTCAAGTTCGAGGACAAGCGGAATTGGGAGGCCATGGATGAATGGGCTGATGGTATCGTGAGACAATTGAGGGTTGAGCAGCAGAGATTGGGAACGTTGGGATAGTGCCGAGTCTTCTTGAGGAAGCTGGAACGGGAGTTTGGCGAAGTGGGTGTGCTCAATTCCGGTCTGGAAGCGGGCGAGTTTGTACGACTTTTCTGAGAGGAGCTGGTAAGAACATAGTGAGTAATGTGTAACTTAAAGGCAGCTCGGACCTGATATAATTATTATTTATTTCATTCTATGGTTGATCATAATTTTGTAACCATGTGCTCAGTACACCGTCACGTGGTAGCATCTCATCTCGTGTTCTAGCGCGAGTTCAGACGCGACCCACTTCCCCTTTCCGGGACCTATCTCAACATCCGAATGTGAATGCAACACAGGAGCTCATTCCTCTCAAAAACCAGTCCATTATCATATTGGTGTCGGACCTGATTGTCAGAATGCCGAAATCATCCGTTCAAGCTGCCAACGTTCAGATATCTACCGAGCTCATCTCCTCTATCTTAGCCTACGTCGAAGAGCTCAAGTCTTCTGTAACGAACCTGGAGGCCGACAAGTAGAGGTTACCCAATGAATTGGGACATGTGAAAAGAGACGTGGTGGCCCTACACAGAAGCTCCGGTGTCAAGTTTCGCAAATTCCCTCCATTACTAGTAGAACTTCGCAGGTACAGTATCCCGCGTCCATTTTCACCTGTGGGCAGAGTTGACTGATGCAGGATTATCTGGACGCTTGCATGTAGGGTGCCACAAGTGCATATTCTCGGCGAGGAGCACATAAGTCGAAGTCGGATCAACGATATATACAATATAAGTCTCGAGGCACGAGAAGTTGTACTTGGCCTTGAGCTTGATCACTTCATATATATAGACCGTCGCGCCAAGAAACAGGATACCAACCGCGTCAAGAACTACTTCGATCCTCAGTTGGATACCATATGGATCAATCGACAATGTCCCAACTTCTGCGAAGACGTTGACTGGACTTGTGGTAGATGCTGGAGTCACAGTAGGGACTACTGTGGTCAAGGTCCATGTATCAGCGTGGACAAGGATGGCCCAGCAGGGTTGTATCGAATGGCTCTCAACCTGTTAGCTTGGAAGATGCCTGGCAACACTTTCGATGAGATGGGGTCAGCTGAACTACATCTACGGCATGGAGTCACAGAGCTACTGCTCGTCGTTGGTGACTATCAAGCCTGCGAGGCCCGATAGGGGTTTGTGGTTTCAGAAGCCCATGGATATTCCAGGTAATACGGTAAATACCTTTTCGCCGACAGAAATGGAGGAGAATATAGAGACAATCGCCTGTCTTACGAGGGAGGAAATGGCCATGAGCTTGACAGCAGACATCCGGCGATTTCAACAAGACCGTGCCCGATAGCTCAAGGATACTATAAATGGTAAATGGACTATTGTAATCAAGCCAATTTCCAAAGCTAACATGTGTAGCCGAAAACCCGACTGAGAGACAGCTGGACGATTCTTATCTTTGGGAGGACACGCTCGGGCTCTCGAATTGTACGATACCCAAAGTCAAATTTGTCTCAGCTAGACGCTGCAGTCCCGACTGGCTCGCGAAGAAGCCGACCAATCAAAAGTCACTGGATGAAGACTCATCGGAGCTGTAGATCTGATACGCTGCTGAGCCTGGCTCATCATTGCCAGGTACTCAACCGGCGTGCATATCCAGTCGACGGAACGATGGCGTGGAAGAAGGCATGCGCAGCATACAGCATACAAGTTGTCAATGAAGCACATTTAGCAGATCATGGCATTCACGTACTGTATAGTCTCCAGAGACCATATTACTTTTTTTTTTCTCTTTCGAAGTCTAGCCTTGATTGTCAAGACGTGCCTGGTGCAATTTCAGACGACAGCAAGGACTATCGATACTATAAAGCCAACCACAACCATGAAGATATTTCCTTCCAATCTTGCCGTACCATTCCTCCGTCTCAGTACATGGAAGAACGAAGTATCCATGGTTCCACCAGAAGATTTCAATCTACCCCAAAAAGGACCAGAAGTCGATATCGGAGCCTCCGCTGTCTTACCTGTTTCTGCTGTCGCAGCCGACGCTTCCGTCGGAGCATCACCTTCAGTAACCGTAACCGTGATAATTATGACCTCTGGTAACGGGTCGGGTGCTCCTATTATCACTAAATCTGGTGTGCTAGTGGCCACTTGAGCAGCTGTTTGTATCGGAAAAGTACTGGTCGGAGGCGTGCTGGAAAGTGTACCAGGAATGCCAACCTTCGGATCTCCAGATGTCTGCCTTCCAACATTCTCTTCAAAGAATCCAGGACCCTTCACATTTCCTGGAGCCTGGTACTGACACACTACATACCAGCTGGGCTTGCCATTCGCGAAATCATCTATCTCTGTTCCTTTGTTAGTTGGTCCGCGTTAGTGCCGTAGCAGAACTCACTACATTGCCTTTTGGCACATCCAATTTCCGTCGTGGCTTTCCAGACTATTTGCGTGAAATAGCCGGTCGTCAGGCTAAAATCAGGGCTTTCGAAATTATACTCCATGCGCTCCAACGCCCACTCGTTGATTGCATCGAGCACTCTGCTGTACCCTAACGCTAGATTTTCGCCGACATCTGGGGTTCCCTAGTCAAAAAAAACAACTGTTAGTTACACGATTATTGAAGTTAAGGGAGGGACAGAACAAGCATATTCTTCCTGAATGTACGAATTGGCATTTGTTTATCCAATCGGCACTGGACCTTGCAAGTTGGTCACTCCATGTCAAGGGATTGGCCCCGTGCTGGCTTCGGAAGAAGTTATGGTCTTCTATGATTTGCAGCTGGAAATGTGTGTTGTCTGCAAAGCTGAGATCTGTTGGTTCTCGATTCTGTAACTCTGCTGGCGCGAATACTGCTGGTACTCCACAAGTGTCATTATGGGCAAGGGCTGTGGAGGAGAAAACGCAGAGGACCAAGAATGCTTTCATGTTGTTCCATTTCGATGAATGGCTCTGTTGGTGCCTATCTGCCATTCTTGTGATCTGTGTATCGGGGCTTTAAGTCATGTGAATTAGAAGTACTTCGTGTTGGTGTCGTTTCTGGAATTTGGGACAGTCTCTACACCATATGGCAGACAAATTCTAAGGATAGCGCAAAGCAGATTAAGGCATCTGATATCTGGATGTACTGCTATTGCGTGCCCAATGTAAATAGCATCGTGACGGAACAAAGAAGTCGATCTCATTACCACCGCATCTGGACAAAGGCACTGGCTCTCTATTCAAGGGCTCTTACCCCAATATTCATGGATACTTCCTCATAGATACGATAGGAATATTTCTTAGATTCGATGCAGTATTTAAAGTCGATTCGTCTTGTAATCGTGGCTGCTTGGTATTAATGTCAATGGTGTCCTGTTCCATAACAGCTCGCCTAGATAGTGATGTGGTCAAGACCTAGTATCACTTCGCCCACCAAAAAAGTAGCAACAAAAGCTTTCTCATGCGAGTGCATGCCTACTCTGAACAACAGGGGGGAGAGCAAAAAAGTAGCTCGCAATCTCACCGGGAAAACAAATTATGTACCAAATGAGAAAATGAATACCGATTACCAGATTCGAACTAGCGACCTCATCATTTTTCTTGTAATACAAGTGATGCGCTCTACCCCTGAGCTAAACCGGCGTGTATTCACGTGTTAGGGCTCGAATTGTTTATTTTGTTATGTGTAGGAGTAAGAAATTTGTGGGTTTGTGGGTTTGTGGAGCATGAATCCGCCCTCAAAACGGGGCGGGAAACGTGATTGGGATTGCATTTGGCTTGCACTGTGGAGACTGCCTTCCAGGAGTTTTGGGTTGAGCGGTGGAAATTGCATGACAAGACTCAGGTCCAAGCATAGATATAATGAGAAGTCAATAGCAACTGCCGAGCACTTGCTTGGGGGCATCTGTGAGAGAGCAAACACAAGGGGCGCGTCAAAGATTGATGCAATGCAGAAACACACAAGATTCGTAAAATACAATTCATTCTTCAACCCCGACCCTGGCATTACTTCATAGCAACTGTATACGGTGCAATCCTCATAAATCGACATCAAAACAGGTATCCATAACTCCATAAACCAACATAATCCGTCTAAGCCATTGCAGCAGTAGGCGCTCTAGCACGCTCCAAATTCCTTCCAGCACCAGTCTTCTTTCCCGCTCCAGGTCGAGCAAGTGTGTACTTGGCAAATGCACGCGCAAGAGCCTTCTTACAGCTGACCTTCTGACTGCCAACGAAGGAGTCGATTGTTACAGCAATGGCGCGATCAACATCTTGTGAAGAGACATAATCTGAGAGACGCATGCGGCAAAAAGCTTCACTGATTCTCATAATGGCTTCAAGATGACGGATCTAGAAATGTTAGCTGTGAATGTGAGATTGTAGGGAGAAACTTACGGTAATTGGATAGGCACCGGTTGCTAACGACTCTCGTCTCATATCGGCAAACAACTTCGAGACCTTTTCTTCATCGATGTTGTATAGCTTGGGGCTACATCTCTCTCTGGCATAAAGAATGAACTTGCGGAGGAGCTCCTGTGGAATCTCGCCCTCTTGCTTTGGCTCACCTCCGTTAGCAGCCCCGGATTCTTGCTCAACATCCATTTGGCTCTCTGAAGGTTGTGAACTTGGATGGGAGCGGCCATGAGATCCGACGACGAATCTGGCAAGTCGCTCGTCCTCAGTGGGGTCGACGGTGTCACGAACCACGCAGAGAATGTCGAAACGAGAGAGAATAGGTTCTGTGAGTTCGACGTTCTGGGAAAATGGGATTGTAGAGTTGTAGCGTCCACCGATGGGATTGGCTGCTGCAATAATACCACAACGTGCCTGTAAAGTGGTGACAATACCAGCCTTGGAGATGGAAATAGTCTGTTGTTCCATAGCTTCGTGAATCGATGTTCGATCCTGATCGTTCATCTTGTCGAACTCATCGATGAGACAAGTACCTCTATCAGCAAGAACCAAGGCACCTCCTTCCAACGTCCATTCGCTCGTTAGGGGATCCTTTCGTACACTTGCTGTCAAACCAACGGCACTAGCACCTTGACCTGTGGCAAAGACAGCACGATGAGCAGTCTTCTCAACATACTTGAGAACCTGAGACTTTGCAGTTCCAGGGTCACCAAGAAGTAAAACGTTGATATCTCCACGAATGTGATGCTTTCCTTGTCTATCTTTAGCAACACCACCGAAGAGGGAGAGTGCCACAGCGGTCTTGATATCAGTGTGACCATAAATACTGGGGGCCATGGAATGGATGATCTTGTCGACGATTTGGGGATCGCGAGCCAAAGCTCTGATCTCCTGCTCGTCCTCTTCAGTGAGCCTGAAGCCAGCAAGCTGATCGTGCGACTTGACTACGTTGTTTGCCTCGAGAATAGTGGCAAAGACTGGGAAGCCGTTCTTGTTGTTGAGCTGAGCATCGTAGTTGTTGCGGTAAACACCGGTGACCTCGATCTCTTCTCCTGGCTTTGCCTTGTCAATCAGATCCCAAAGTAGAATGACTTCTCGGTGTCGCGGAAGACGACCAGCGGGAACAGTTCCAGGAGATTCTTGGAGAGTTAGCTTTTGGTAGTTGCGGTAGACAGTCTTCTCGGAATTGAGGTTGAAGGGTCCGCGAGATTGACAGTTCTGGCAGTAAGAGATCTTGACCTCGACGTTCGATTCCTGCTGGAATGGGCCAAGTCTGGTTCCACACTTGCCACAGTCAAACATGACATATTTTAATTGCGGAAAAACTCCACTTCTGCGAGTAACAACACCACTGACTCTAACCAAACAGTTCAAATGTGTCTGCCGAAGTTGGCGAAGAGTGTAGTGGACTGGCAGATCCGAGATTCGAACGTGAATCTCAGAATGGATTCGCTCGTAATCTGGGTAATGGAGAAGGGTGACTTCCATAGCAACTTCGTCAAACAACTTGAGCATCTCTCCAGGAGCATTTGCCAAGAAGTAAGCAAGAATAGCCTTGGAGGATGAGAGATGGTCGTAAGAGACTTCGAGTGATTCCGCGTTGATCTCGCCTAAGGTTCGAATGCGACTACCGTAGACTGAGACTCCATGCTCATCGGTGTACTCTGTTAAGAAAGCTTTGAATTCTCGCTTGATGGTTCTCTGGACAGCTTGCTGAGAGACCCACTCAACCAAACTGGATGCCTTGACATCTTGCAGGGTCTCAAGGGAGAGCTCTTCTTCCATGATATCATCCTGCATCTCCTCGTCTTCCTCCTCGTCGTAGTGATGGCGGCGTCGGCGAGGTTGAGCTGTAAGATCAAGATCGCCCTCATCGTCTTCATCCTGGAGGAAAGCTGCTGGCATACGTCTTTGACGAGCCAGCTCGCGATCTCGGCGGTTCAGGCGCGAGTCAAGTTGTCTTCTGGTTGCGATATCCATATCATCGTAATCGCCCTCATCATCAATATCTCTGTCATCATAACGATCATCTTCGCGGGATTTGTAGTCGTTCTCGAAATTGTTCGCAAAGAGATCGATTCCGTCTTCGTCCTCTGCCATCTCGTCGACATCGTCGATATCGAGCGCAACGTCCTCTTCGATATCGTCGTCATCGTCACCTCCGTGTTGAATTGGGTATGCAGGAGGAGAGGATCGAATGTCTCCAGCTGGAGATGATGCGCCGATACCAGAGGCATCGCTTTCAGGCTCTCTGGAGCGCTTGCGGGTGTTTCTGCCGCCCGTGACTCCACGATTTGCGGAAGACATGCTGGGTCGAAGGGGGGAACTGTCGAGGGTGTTAGGGAGAGGGTAGAAAAAGGGGTTGGGAGTATTCGGGAGGAACTGTGGATTAAAGTAGAAGATCGTACCTCATGGTATAGCGAGTTTTCCACCTTGGTGTGTCTTGATCAAATTGAAGGTGATTGTCGCGTTCTTTGAAGGTGATGTGGTTTGAATATCTGGAGGTGGGATGGATACTCAAAATTGAGTGAGAAAGGAGGGCGGCGGCAGCGTCGCGTCTCGACGCGACGTTCGTGTTTCGCTAGTACACAAAGTGGAATAGTGGGGTTTTCGCGTTAAGTGGTTTGGAGAAGGCTGAGCTGACTGGACTCGGCCAGGCTGAAAGAACTCGCTGCTCCCCATCACATCCGAATATCCTTTCACAACAACATCAATCGCCCAACTTCCTACAACACAACACCAATATCGACTTCGAGAAGATGGTTGTGCCACCTGTCCCCGATTCTAGCTTCACTGAACAGCCCAGCCAGAAGAGTGGCACGTCGCGAACCCAGAGCTTCTCCCAGCAATCAGATAGCTCGCAAACATCCCAGACCGCGGCAGAGTGAGTGTTCCTTTGCAATTACGCCATTCAACGAGATATCCTTCTAATACTCGGTAGCTTTATAAATAGCCAACTTCAACTGGAAGCCGATGCGCGCGAAGCTCTGCCATATGTATGTATTGCGTTTGATGCTTTGTGACGCGTGCTGATTATCGCAGAAATTTGAGAAATGTACAAAACCAATTGGAAAGCTCCGCCAGCAGATCTTCTCATGCTTGACGTGTAATCCTCCTCCAGCAAATCCGACCGATCCATATAATGCAGCCGGCGTTTGCTATTCCTGCTCAATTTCCTGCCATGGAGAACACACATTGGTCGAGTTGTTCAACAAGAGGGACTTTGTTTGCGACTGCGGTACAACGCGTCTACCGGCCACTTCACACTGCACTCTACGTGTTAATCCGGAAACGAACACTAAGGGTGGTGTGCATTCGGAGCAACCTGCGCCTGACAATAAGTACAACCAGAACTTCAGGAATCGGTTCTGTGGCTGCGAATGCGACTACGATGCCTATGCGCAGAAGGGTACAATGTTCCAGTGCCTTGGAATTGGTACAAGTGAGACCGGGGGATGTGGCGAAGACTGGTGGCATCCGGGTTGCTTGGTAGGATTGGGTCCAAACTGGGATGATGAATCTGGACGGAAAGCAAATAATGAAGGGTTTCTCGATTCTATCGCTGAGGTCGCCGAGGCTGTGGTCGATGAAAAGAGCGGAGACACCAATACTGAGGTGACAAAGAACGAAGAACCAGTTGTTCCACCAGTGGCCGAACCACTGGGTGACGACGCTGAAGAAGACGATCCGCCACTGCCGCCTGGGTTTCCCGCGGAAGACGACTTTGAAGGCTTTATATGTTACAAATGTGTGGAAGCAAACCCATGGATCAAGCGGTATGCAGGCACAGCAGGCTTTCTGGCACCAGTTTTCAGACGGAGTACGGCGCCTTCCCCAGAAACTGGATTGCTCGGCAAGACAGAGGAGCTGATCTCGTCAAATCTACCGATGATCAAGAAGCGCAAGGCAGAGGATGATGAGGAGTCAGTTGCATCAAAGCGACACAAGGATGAAACCCCGGCTGCTGGTAGTGAACCTTCGACAGAAACACCTTTCCAGGCAGACTCTACCGCCCTGGCCGAGCCAGCAGCCTCAGAGAATGGCAAAGGACCTTGCAAGTTGAACGCTCTTCCACCAGCACCGACTGGCCAAATCTCGCTCTTCTTCAAGGACGATTTCCGCGAGCACCTCTGCCGTTGCTCGTCTTGCTTCCCCCTTCTCCAACCTCACGAACAACTTCTCGATGAAGAAGAGCTATACGAACCGTCTGTCTCCGACAACGAGGA